GAAAGCTTAATATCCTTCATGTTCGAAGACATGATTTGCTGAGGAAGAATGTGTACTATTGCAAAATTGTACATTGGTGACCTCTTGAAGCTTCTTGCACAATGAATCTACTTTAGAAAATCTTCTAAACCATATCAGAGCAGACATGCACTGCTAAAGAATCACTTTGTTGACTGTATTCGGAAAACTGGAGTTTGCAGCTGCAGGTTGAATTGTGTAAATAGTAGTATTGTACCTTGGAGAGATCATCTCAATGCTCAAACGATCCATGCCTCAAGCCTCCTACCAGATTATAAGCAGAGATTGCCCTCTTACTTTGCCATGCCCATATACGGTAGCAAACAGAAAGACCAGAGACCATGAAACATGCACAGAGGCACCATGTCACAGTATACATAAGAGGAAGAGTAGGTTTTGGTTCAGATCAGTTGTAGTAGGGTGACCCTAGTACATTTCTCAGATCAAAGTCACCGTGTCACTGTACAAGTAAGAGAAGGAGTTGTTTTTGGTTCAGATCAGTTGAAGAAGTAGGGTGACTCTAATACATCTTTGAGATCAAAATCTTCCCGTTCAGGCAAGGGGGGAAAAGATAATGTGGGGAAAGCCTTCTGAAAGCTCTCCAACTAAAATGTTTCCAAAACAAACTGATACTTGATCAAACCTTATCCTGTTCTTTAATTGCCCTTGTTTGCCTATCAATGACAAAATGAGCAGCTGACTGAGAGACTTGACTCCAAATTTTATGCCTAGTCAACATGGCAGATAAATTTATAATAACTGTTCGGAGGCCTTTGATTATAGTTATGAATATAGTCAATGCTGCAGATCTAGTTATGTTCTATCTGCTGCATCATCACATGGCCGTCGTTCTTCCCATATCTTCACAAAATAATCAGAAAAGAGAACTTCACAATTTTATATGTAGCTATATAGTTACTAGTGTGCTTAAGGTGTGAGAGTCATTGTGTGGGCTAATTTTTCTTTCGATGAAGGAAGTCTATTTAGGTGATCTAGATTATAGCTATTGATGTTTTGATATTTGTGCTTGTAGGGAAGTTTAATTGTATACATTTGGCGACTAAAATAATTTTAGTCGCTAATTACCTTTATCAACAATTCTTTGACGACGACTATTGCGACCAAATTATGTAGTTGCTAAAACCCTTTGGTGACTAAAAATTAACTTTTGGTGACCAAAAATTAAGTCGCCAAAAGTGAAAATTTTTGTAGTGTATGATTCATTAGTAAAAGTTATGACATTTTGTTAATCTTATTACGATTGTGGAGAAAAAAGTTGTCGTTATGATTTATTAATAAAAGTTATGACATTTTGTTAATGTTATTATGATTGTGGAGAAAAAAGTTGTGGTTATGATTCATTACCAAAAGTCATGATTTGTACTACCAAAAGTTATGATTTGTCATGGTGAATCATAATAAAAAATGTTACGATTCAAATGTTATGATAATTGATTACAAATAACTATATTTGTTATGAGTTGTCATTATATTGTTATGATTTATAATGTCTTTGTTATGACACTTTGGTGAATATTATGACTTTGTTATGATTCATTGTAGTATTGTTATGATATTTGAAAAAAAGTTATAATTCTTTCTGTAACCTCCTACATGACCGGTTTAACAGGTCATTTTTTATGATGTGGCACGATATGGACCATACAATAAGTGCATATCATATGCCCTTTTATAAGGTGCACATTGTAGATTTTCCCCTAGAAAGAAAGTGAGCCAGAGAAGGAGAGGAGTCTAGCTAGGTATTTTCTTTCATGTATGAAAAATGATCGGTTATTCCAAGTTATTGATGAACAAATAGAAATTGAAGGAATTGTTGAGGAGCTCACAGAAGCAGCTAATTTTGCAAAGAGGTGCCTGATAGTAAAAGGAGAGGAGAGGCCTACTATGAAGGAAGTAGCAATGGAGTTAGAGGGGCTTATCATAAAAAAAGATGAAGAAGCATCCATGGGTTAAAATTGATTTGAATGGTGAAGAAAGTGAGCACTTGCTTGGTGGGAAGTTAAGTGGGTATGAGTTTGGAGGTTGCACTACTACTAGTAGTAGTAACACAACAACAACTGGGTACGATAGTGTGAGGGAACATATGATGTTGCCAATGAATGGTGGGAGGTGATTTTTTTTGTACTGTTTTGTTTTTTGACCACAATGACAACAAATTGGGTAACGGTTTATTATTACTGTCTTTTGTGTTTTGTAAAATTATGTGCCTACGTTAGATTTGTTGGTATTTTTTTGTAATAATACAAGAAAAATATATAAAATAAATGAAATAGAAATGACAAAATAATTTTTATTTTTATTTTTATTAAAGGATGAAATAGAGAATAAACAACACAACTAAATACAGAAACAAATTAGATCACATTACTAAAAGAATAAATTATTAACATGGATAACTAAATATTAAAACTCGTCGAGATAAACTAAATTATGAAAAATTAAAGAACAAATAATAAGAAAAGAAGCAAACTGAAGTCTGTGTGATACCACAGTTTCCTTAAAACAAATTCACCGCCTCTCGATGAGTGCTGGAGGTATGCCGACGTCTGCCTCACAAGATACGACGGTCGAAACCAGCTAATGCAGAAGCATCTTCTGAATAGCTTCGGCGAATTTGACAATGGTTGGACTCTCTCTAACAAGAACCAAAGAAGAGGCTAACAAAGGAAGATAGGAAAAATTTTCTTTGGTGTAAAAAATCATCTCCAACTTTTTATCTCAAAACACCATCTCATTTTCCATTACAAAACCTCTCTAAAAAACAACCTACTAAATTGGAGGAAAAAGACTTCTATTTATACTGGTAGGGGAGAGCCTTAGCCATGAAGGCTAATATCAATGGGGTCATCATATGTCATCAACTCTAGCCATTAGGGCTAGAGTTACAAAGGTTCAAAACTCCAAAACCATTATATAAATTATAATGTGCATATAATGTATAAGTTTTGAGAATTAAACTAGATGAGTTGCAAAATGGATACAGGTGTTTAGTCACAATCCGATCCAAGCCCAATCTCAAACACATGTACAAACTAAGCCTATCATAGCTCAGCCCAAAGCTGAAGACTAGGTCCAAGTCTAAGTCTAAGACCAAACCCAGCACATGCACAAGTACATGTCTCGGCCCAATCCAAACCAAGACTAAATCCAAATCTAAACCCAACTTTATTGAAGCCCACGTTATGAGACAATTCTCATTCACAACTCAATGGTTTCAGCTCATTATTTATGTATTGCAATCTTCTCACTTAAGATAATACAAAACCACTCTGACCCACCTCAACCGACAGTTGGGTTCTACTTTAATTTCAAATTAAAGTTGCTGAAAACCCAATTATTTTCCAACAAGATTGTTTCAATTTAATTTACATTTTCATATGTACTTTTCATTATAGTAAATCGATATTATTCAAATACTTTAGGATATATGGATAATTTTATAAATAAATGACTAACTGTTGATAGTAATTATAAATTGATGAAGTGCAACTAAGATTTGATTTACACTATGTGGTTGGGTTTGTGTACACTATTTGGATTGAGCCAGTTTGGTTGGATCTTATTTTGATAATTTAATTAGTTTATTTTTTAAATCTTACTGTGTGGACTATCTATCAAAAAATTAAATTGATCAAATAATTTTTGCAATATGATTTTATCACATCTCTATTCACCAAAATAGATGAAAAGTATAATTTTGAAACAGATTGTTTGATTATCAATCTCATTTTTTTATGAATGATCTGCACATCAATAAAATTAACAGATCAAATCATTGAAGTGTGATTCGTGATTGACCTATGTGGCTCAAACTAAACAAAGGATTAGAGAGAATGGTAAATTATATCACTGATCGCGGTAGTGTTCACAAAATTTTACTTTAATTTTCGTAGTTTCAATTTCAACAATTTAAATATTATATTTTCATTTATATTCTAATGTGATCCCATTGTTGTTTGTCATTGTTGTTTTTGCATAGAAAACTAACACTTTTGACTGGCATGTGCATGCTAGTAATTCCTACTCTTAAAATAAAAATTAATAAATCTTACCAGAATTTTATTTTGTCCCTCTAATTTCATAAATTTTATTATTTTTTTCCATTCGAATATTAACCAATAATGATAGAAGGAATACATTGGAACTAAAATGAAAGTATATGGACAAAATTAATAAAATTATAACTACAAAAACTAGCTTGTTTGGGGTACGTTATATAAGTATATTTTTTATCTTTTTTTTATTATTATATCACCTCTCTATATTTTTATATATTTTTTTTATAAAAAATAAAAAATACATTTATTTAAATCATTCCAAACAAATATTAAAACTGTAAAAGTATATGAACCAATTGTGTAAAAAAAAAAGAATCTTCTAGGTAAGTATTTGGTGAACCGCGTAACTTTAAAATATATACTCCCTCTGTCCCAAAATAATGGTCCCTTTTGGGGAATCCAACTTTTTTTGGTAGTACAATTATTGCATTAAAAAAAAGTTAATTTACCAAAATTACCCTTTTGATAGTACATTTTTTGAGAATATCAATGTCATAATTGTACTTTTTATATTGTTTATTAATTTAAAAGAAGGGCAAAATAGGAATTTTACATTATTTTTGTACTTGATTTTTTAAAAGGGACTAATATTTTGGGACAATGAAAAATGGAATAAGGGACTAATATTTTGGGACGGAGGGAGTATATAAAATGCAAATGGGAAAGAAGTCAAGTCTGGCGGGCTGGTTGGTCAATCTTTTTGGCATTTGTAAATAATTTTTTTTTTTTAAATTATAATAATTTGAGGGAAGAATTCTACTATAATTTTTAATTATATTTCATATCTTGTTTAATTATAACTATTTTTTTAATTATTAATTAAAAAATATAAAATTATGTAATTTCTTTTCTTAATTATAAATCATACACGTTCCCAATTTGAAGATTGTTGTAAGGTAAAGTAGAAGTAGTTTAATCTTTTCTGACCCGGAAATCTAAGAAAAATAATAATAAATTCATAATAATTGTATAGTCTCATCTCACATAACCTCTGGAAAATCCTTACCTTTTGAACAACAAAGGATTATGAAACTTTTTTGAGGAAGCAAACACAGAAAAGAGAGGAAAAGCCAAGAGTCTAGCAAATTTGTGACAAAACCAACCCAATCAACCATTCTTACACTCTCTCGAGCATATTATCATACACTTGGTGTGCCGTTTTTTACACCTATACATCATTCAAGGTAGTTCTCAAGAAGGCAAGCCAAGAAAAATTGTTTTAACGGATTTTTTGAGGTAGGCATCTATAATCTTCCATTGATGTGATTATGGTTATTGGATTGCCTTATTAGTTTTTGATTTTTGATTTTTTTTTTTTAAATGTTTGAATGATTTTGAAGCATCTTTATCCCCTGAACAATTGCTATTTTTCCTATTTCATCCTTAGGTTATGGTTTTGGTATATTTAGTTCTTAAAGTTTTAATTTCTGTTAATGTGATTCAATGACTATACAAATCAATAATTGTGAAGCCTAATTTGATGTGGGGAAAAAGTTGCCATTTTAAAATTTGAACAACTTACCATACAACAAAATATTCATTTTTCCTTTTAATTTGAACAATTTATATTCCACAACTAATTTAATAGGTGTTTGATTTTATGATTTAAATTATAAAATTACTTTTTGGCCATCAAATTAGGCTTCAAAAGTTACTAATTTGTACAATCATCTCCAATTAGATGACATGAAGATAAATCCAAAAATTTAGGTACTAAATGGATAAAATTGATAGTTTAGAGATCAAATAATAATAAATAAATAAAAAATTGGTGATAGTTTAGAAGATAAAAAGTGAAATTCACCTAAAATGATTTGTTGATATTTTTTTGGTGATTGGGTTATCTTATTTTCAGTGACTTATCTAGATTCTAGTAATGGGGGAAAGTATAGTACGATTAGGAAGAAAGGCAAGACAAAGAGAAAGGAGGGTAACATGAATGTATCAGTTTCTTCACAGAACATTCATAATGGGATTAGGCTGATTAAGGAAGATGCAGAATCAGTGTTAGAAATTGGTAAGATGTTGGATTTGGATTTTAGTGATGGTAAAAGGGAAGCTTTGGGTAGGATTGGTCAAATGTAGGAAAATGAGATGAGGTTATTTGAAAAGGGAGGGGCTGATGAGTAGTTCTGAGTGCACTATTGCACTAAGGGTGTTTACCTATTTGTTTCAATGAAGTTATTTTCATGGAATAGGGAAACTAGAGACAAGGAGAGAAATTAGAAGGTAACTTGCAGCAAGGGAAGTTGATTTTGCATTATTACAGGAGACAAAATGGGCAGAGGTGAATCATAATTTAGTAAATTTGGTGTGTGGAGATGGAGTTTGTAGGACTTTACTACTCACAACTTGTCAATAAAAAATAAATAAATAATTATGTCCTGTTATGAGGCATAAATTCTAGTCTTTCTAGAATACCACATGGATGTGTGCCCAATCAATCGCATTTTGTGATTTTTCATATTATTCTTATTTTTTTTTGGACCATGCAAGTACATAGTCCCAATGAATTTGTTTACATATTTGTTCGAATGAATTTCTATGGTCTTGAACACAGAAAAGCGGCTGCCAAGAAGCTGGAAACAAGCCGGCCATGGCCTCCTCACAAGCAATGCTAGTGAAACTCATCATGATAGTAGTAGTTCTGGTAATGATTTTGTCATCAGCAGTTGCAGCACCACCAACAATTGCAGATTTAAAAAAGCTTGGCTGCACGGACCTTTGCGGAAATGTAAGCATCCCATACCCATTCGGCTTGAAAGAGAACTGTTATTTGGAAGAAGGTTTCCTCGTTACTTGTAATCAATCCAAGCCATATATTGGGAAGACCAATATCACTATTTCAGATATATTCCTCGAGGAGGGTGAGTTACGCATCATGCAGTCAATATCTCGTGATTGTTATGACCAGTTAGCTACACCATTACAAAGCAACATCAAAACATTGCTCGAGCTGCCAGAAATTAGAAGGTTACTTGCAGCAAGGGAAGTTGATTTTGCATTATTACAGGAGACAAAATGGGCAGAGGTGAATCATAATTTAGTAAATTTGGTGTGTGGAGATGGAGTTTGTAGGACTTTACTACTCACAACTTGTCAATAAAAAATAAATAAATAATTATGTCCTGTTATGAGGCATAAATTCTAGTCTTTCTAGAATACCACATGGATGTGTGCCCAATCAATCGCATTTTGTGATTTTTCATATTATTCTTTTTTTTTTTTGGACCATGCAAGTACATAGTCCCAATGAATTTGTTTACATATTTGTTCGAATGAATTTCTATGGTCTTGAACACAGAAAAGCGGCTGCCAAGAAGCTGGAAACAAGCCAGCCATGGCCTCCTCACAAGCAATGCTAGTGAAACTCATCATGATAGTAGTAGTTCTGGTAATGATTTTGTCTTCAGCAGTTGCAGCACCACCAACAATTGCAGATTTAAAAAAGCTTGGCTGCACGGACCTTTGCGGAAATGTAAGCATCCCATACCCATTCGGCTTGAAAGAGAACTGTTATTTGGAAGAAGGTTTCCTCGTTACTTGTAATCAATCCAAGCCATATATTGGGAAGACCAATATCACTATTTCAGATATATTCCTCGAGGAGGGTGAGTTACGCATCATGCAGTCAATATCTCGTGATTGTTATGACCAGTTAGGTACACCATTACAAAGCAACATCAACACATCGCTCGAGCTGCCCAAATTCACCATATCTAATACCAAAAACAAGTTCACTGCTATTGGTTGTGACACAAGTGCAAGTATCCAAGTTTCTGGAGTAGCACACAATTATTTCATTACAACTGGGTGTCTGTCTGCATGTAGCACACGTGGCTACATTCCCGATGGAAATTGCTCTGGAATTGGGTGTTGCCAAACCTCCCTCCCAAACGGAGGGGCATATGCAGACATTTCCCTAGCGAGCTTCACCGCTCATAGGAAAGTATTCGACTTTAATCCCTGTAGTTATGCTTTTGTTGTTGAAGATGGTGCATTTAATTTTTCCAGAAGTTACCTCGGTAATTTTAGTGAAGAATATATGCCTATGGTGCTTGATTGGACAATAAGGAGTAATATTTTTACGTGCGAAGAGGCTAAAAGAAATCAAATGAGTTATGAATGTGGACAAAATAGTGATTGCTATAAGCCAGACCATGGTCCTAGCACTAGTGGTTATATTTGCAAGTGCTTGCCAGGTTACCAAGGAAACTCGTACCTCTTAGATGGTTGCCAAGGTAATTAATAGGTTCATCATGTTTGGATTCATTTACTTTTGATTATATGCCATCTGAATATTTTTTAAAATATTTTTACTTCTGTGATTTTCCATGTCATGGTATGGGTAGGTTCCATTATTTTATTTTTTTTCATATATTATGCATTCTATATGTACACACAAAATTTATTACTATATGAATACATATAAGAGATGAAATAAAATAGTGAAATTCAGGTGACTAATATCATTTCCCTATTACTTTTGGTGCTACCCTAATAGGAGCCACTTTTGATTGTTTTGCAGACATAAATGAGTGTGAATATCCAAATGTCAATATGTGTGAACATAAAAATAAATGTGTCAACACGCTAGGAAATTATACATGTTCTTGCCCCAAGGGATACCATGGCGATGGCAGAATAGATGGAAATGGTTGCACTGCTGGTCGATTTCTGGTGATTCAGCTTGTGGTTGGTAAGTGTGTGTATATATATATGTGTATGTGTGTGTGTGTGTGTGCGTGTGAAATACTTGAATCATGTGTAGTGTGGCTTTCTTGTTCGAACTAATAATGTCATTGTCAGTTGAAATCATAAATACATAATGCATATTTTTTAACATAGTAGCATCCCATATTTGCTTCCCCTATAGTCTTTGGGTGTTGTCTATTTGTTGTGTGCATGTAATTTCTTGTGTATACGTTCTTCATTCGAGTCAATACGTGATTCTACATTGGTTTACAAGTCAGTTCACTAAGTTAAAACTGCGATCATATAGAGGAAAAAATTGAACATGACCATGATACCAATGACATGGTATCACCATCCAATCATTAATTGCTATTTTTCCTGCTAGGTATATTTGGCATCCTAAAAAATGGTTCATCCCTCCCATATAGTTTTTTTTATTGGTTGGTGATACCATGTGACACTGATAACACATGGTATCACCTTTGTATTTAATTTTCACCCAATCATATAGGTACTCTGATTTGTCATATAATTGGGATCATTCAAGGACTAACTGTTGCACTCTTCTAATATAAAATTGTTGCAATCCTTCATTTTGATTCTTTTAAACCAAAATATTTGCCATATGCAGTCTTTGTTAAAAAAATGACTAATTTGAAATGCAGGTTTCGCCGTTGGTGGAATGGTTGTTTTGGCGAGTAGCTCTTGGTTGTACTGGATTTTTAGGAAAAGAAAGCTCATCAAGCTTAGAGAACAATTCTTTAGGCAGAATGGTGGATTGATGTTGCAACAACAACTCTCTAGACAAGACAAACCGACACAGGAATTGATTAAAATCTTCACTTCAGAAGAGCTCAAGCAGGCTACCAACAACTATGATGAGAGTAGAATTGCTGGCCGAGGAGGTTTTGGAATAGTTTACAAGGGAATTCTACCAGAAAACAAGATAGTGGCTATCAAGAAATCCCAAATGGTGGATGAAAGTCAAATAGAGCAATTCATCAATGAGGTGGTCGTGCTTTCACAGATCAATCATAGGAATGTGGTCAAACTCTTAGGTTGTTGTTTGGAAACTCAAGTCCCTTTACTTGTCTATGAATTCATCACCAATGGCACTCTCTTTGAGCATATACATAATCAAAGCAAGGCATCTAATATATCATGGGAAAATCGTTTGCGAATAGCTGCAGAAACTGCTGGAGTACTGTCATATTTGCACTCTGCAGCGTCGATTCCTATCATCCATAGAGATGTTAAGTCTACAAATATACTCTTAGATGATAATTACACTGCAAAAGTGTCGGACTTTGGAGCATCAAGGTTGGTTCCATTAGACCAAAATCAATTAGCCACAGTGGTGCAAGGAACTCTTGGATACTTAGACCCTGAATACATGCTTACAAGCCAGCTGACCGAGAAAAGTGATGTTTATAGCTTTGGAGTAGTCCTTGTAGAGTTAATCACTGGAAAGAAGGCATTGTCATTCAACAGGCCAGAAGAGGAGAGAAATCTGGCTATGTATTTTATTACTTGTATGAACAATGATTGCTTGAACCAAATTATTGATGAACACATGGTAATTGAAGGAAACACTGAGGAGCTCAAAGAAGTTGCTAATCTTGCAAAGAGATGCTTGAGAGTAAAAGGGGAGGAAAGGCCTTATATGAAGGAAGTGGCGATGGAACTGGAGGGGTTGATCAGGAAAAAGATATCTAAAAATGGTTTGAATTATGCAGAGACTGAGAACATGCTTGGTAACGCATCAATTGGATATGTAGTTGGTGGTTGTGGAAGCAACACAACAGCAGTTGGGGTTGATAGTATGGTGGAAGATATGCTATTGCATGGTGGGAGGTGATTTGATTGTTTTGTGTTTGTCCATGATGATAACAACTTCATTGATGATTGTTACACTTGCATACAAGTGATGAATTCTTTTAAATTTCTTTTACTTTCTTATGTAAAAGTTTGTTAGTGACTCACTCACTTTTCATTAATCTTGTCCGTTCATATCATTTTGTGTCATATTTTAAGTTTTATATTTCTAGACTTATCAGAATACATGAAATAAATAAAATTTTACAGAATTTGTTAGTGAGATTCACTTATGAAATTATTGTCCATCCATATGAATTCAATGTCATGTTGTGATATCAGTTTATGTGTTTCTAAAAAAACAATTATTGGGATACTTTGGGCCTGTTTGGTAACTATTTCGTTTTCAGTTTATATTTACAAAAATTTTAAAAACTGTCATAAAAACTTGTTTGATAATTTTTTTGGTTTATAAATGGTTGTTTCAGTTTATAAATTTGAGAAAAAAATGTAAACTCATTGAGTTTACATTTTCAGTTTTTAATTTTTTTTTTTCAATTAATTTTTTTTTAAAATAATTTTTTTTCAATTATTTTTGTTTCAAATAATTTTTTTTTCAATTATTTTTTTTTTTCAAATATTTTTTCATTTTTTTTCAAATAATTTTTTTTTCCAATATTTTTTTTAAATATTTTTTTCAATTAATTTTTTTTTCAAATTTTTTTTCAATTAATTTTTTTCCCAATTAATTTTTTTTTCAATTATTTTTTTAATTAATTTTTTTCCAAATAATTTTTTTTTCAATTATATTTATTTTCAATTATTTTTTTTCAATTATAATGTGTGTGATCTCATTGTCATAAATAATAAAAATAAATATAAATATTTTAGGCCTTAACAAACATCTTTTTTTAGTTTATATTTTTTAATTTTTTTAAACATTTTGTTCAAACCAAACCTGTTTATAATTTATGTTTTTCTAAAAATAAACAAAAATCAGTTTATAAAATTTTTGTAAACATAAACAAAAAACGTAAACGTTACCAACGCTATCATCATAATATATAAGGAGAATTCCATATATAAATGGCAAATGGGAAAAGTAATTATAAATTCATATAATGCAAGTGAAAATTGTATCTCTCACTTACACTGGGTACTGTGCCTGTAGGTAAGAGCAGTGGTACCCGTGAGTGAGAGGTAAGAATACGAAATTTACAATGAAACCTTCACCAGGAATATATGTATATATATATAATACAATATCTATATAATAACGTAGGAAGGTTTTTGAATTTTCTCTAATGTAGCAAATTTGTCCTACGTGTCATTTGCTATCAATGGTTGAGAAATATGGTGGAAGATTCAATGGTTCAGATTTGCTTCACCTAGACAAATTTTCGCCCACTACTCCTCTCACTATCCCACTCTAATCTCTCTCACCTCTGGCACCAGGCACCAGACCTCCTCTCTTTAGTTTCTTTCTTCCTCTCTTCCTCCCTCTTAACCTCTCTCCCACCGCAGCTTACCTACGTCCTTCCCAACTCTGGCTGCTGCAAGCCCTCTCTCTCATTTCACCACTGCACCACCCATCCCCGATCGCCGTAATTTTCTCCTCCGGTTGATTCTAGGCACACCACCCATCTCCTTAAGGGCTTCGCTCTCACTCTTGAAGTTAGATTTTGAAGAAGGTTAGTTTAGTTCTACTTTATCTCTATCTCTCTCTTATCTTTAATTTCAAAATTCTAAGGCCATGTTTGTTTGGGCGGACATCTACTTGGAATTGAACTAATAGTCCAATAAAATTATTAATCCGATATTTGATTAAAAAATTAAAGTATGGACTAACAAACCATCCAGATATGGTATCTCACATATGATGGGCTATTTAATCCTGGAGAGGAAGGTGAGATATAAATTAGGAGACTAAGCCAAAGTCTGAACTAACTCATCAAATGACCAAATTAACCTTGACTACATATCTATATTTGTCGATTATTTTATTCCAAAACCTTCACTCTTCTTCGACATCCCTGTGACGAAATGAGAGTCTCCAAAGTTCGTTGCCGATCTCGAGCCACCGATCACCAATCTGGAGCCACCATTCACAGATCTGGAGCAATTGTTTATCAATTTGGATCGACCATTTGTTGAGCTGAAGCAATCATTCATCGTTTTTGTACCACGATTCGCTGATCTCAACAAATTTTAGTGAGTAAATTTTTTTTTTTTTTTTTCCATTTGATGTTCGGTTTGATTTACGGTGCTATTACGTGGTTTGATTTGTATGAATCTTTGTTTTACGTTGGTGTTGTTATAGTTATTGCTTTTTCTCTATCTTCGTCTTCATAGATCCAGGGTTATGTTTCTCAGATTTGTTGATTGTGGGGTCATATTGTTAGATTTGTATGTGTTGAAGCATTGTTCAGTGTTTAGCAAAAGTTTTGTTTTGATTTTTAATTGATTAAATTAGATTTTTAATTTTGTTTTGATGGAGATAGGGCTACGGAGGTTGAGGAGTTCTATGACTGTAAATCTAAAGTTAAACAGTTGAAGATGATGAAGAAAAACACATAAATTACATTCAAACACATATATAATCAATTTTACGAACATATATACATAATCGATTGAGAGAGAGAGAGAGAGAGACCTATATAGGGTGTATATATGTATGTATGTATATATATATACCAGTTTGTGTAAAATAAAATAAAATAAATAAAATGAAAATACCAGTTTCTTCTGTGGAACAACAATCTGTGTATATATATATATATATAAGTCTAAGGTTCAAATCCCTTCCCTTCATCTATATAATTTTTTTTTTTTTTATTTCAAATAAAAAAATAGACACGTAGCAGCATAACAAAGGCTTCAAGACACCATAAAAAGATGTTCACTTTATAATAGTATAGGTATATATATATATATATATATTTGTGTAAAATATAATAAAATGAAAATTAGTTTAGAAAGTTAAACATTTCTTGTCAAAAAAATTATTTAGTATTTATTAAATCTGTTTTGGCAATCATGTGCCCACTCATCAATTAATTATTTCTTCTTTGTCTCTCCTTTCCACTGGTAAGTCTTCAACTCTCTATGCCCTGTTTTACTTCAACAATTAGCTTCAGTTTTCTTGCAATTATATGGTGATTTTGTGAGTTCTTGCACAAACACACTTCACTTTCCATGTAAATATGTTGAGAAATTGGGAAAATTCAAGAAAGAAATCCCTTTAATTATTGCTTTTGTTGTGTATCTATTGCTAGGCAAATTGGATTGCTCTGTTTGGTGGTCCACTCTATTTGGTGGGCAAATTAGATTTCATAAATGGGTTTTATTTATTTATTTTTTATTTTTATAATATATTTGTTGTGTTTCCTTTTGTTAGCAACGAGGTTTATTTGTTTAAAAAAAAAAAAAATGAAACTTATGATTGAGACTAAGATATCCATCCAGTGAACCCAATGGCCCTGATAAAAGCATTTACATGAAATACATTACACATTTTTTAAAATGCATGGGTTTAAAATGTATCCAATCCAACCAACTCTAGGAGAAGAAAAAGTGAAGAAGCATCTTGGGACAATTGATGAGATATTTTAAATAGAATAATCTTGGCGGTGTGGCAGGTACTGCTGGTCCACTCTTTTAACTCTAGGTTGTGATTCTGGCTTGTAAATTTGTCGAAGTTTCTGGAAACTGCAATAGGATTCTGCAGAGATATATTTGTTTTGATGTGTGCTGGGGTGACTATTGTTATTCAGTTTAATGTTGCGTAGAATATTTTCTGGGTTGGGTTTAATATGTTGTCTAGCTTCTTTCTAGATATCCAATGGTGATAATCTCTTATTATTTTTTTGTGTTGTTAATATTTTTTGGAATTATGAAGTTTTCTTGTACTCTAATTTATTGATGTACATCACTGTTTGCATAGATGGATTACAATTTTGATGGTTTTGGAGATGAGAGTAATGAGGAGCTTGAGCTATACGTAGTGTTGCAAGTTGTAATACAAGAATTGTATGCCTTATGCACTGTAGCATATATTGCCATTGAAATTGTCTTGAAGAGATACATTCACAAGTATCCTCGTACCATTATTAGAGAGCCCAATCTTAAGTTGGTGATATTAATTGAAATTGATTATTGTAGAGGGAGAGCGATGCGAAAAACCTACAAAACAAAAGTTTTCCGTATTTTGACTCATGGATCCACATATTTGGTAAGGATCAAGCTACGGGAGAGTTTGCTAAAGGGTCTGCTGATCAATTGATGCTATAAATGCTGAGGAAGAATTGTTGTTCAACAATCTTGCAGATGATGACACATTTCTTGAACATATGGGTATGAATAGTCATATTGGCAAGGGAATAAATTGCTCCAACTCATCAAGTCAACAATCACCTAAAAGTTCTACCAAAAAGAATGCCAACAAGAAGAGGCCTGGAAGTAATGATGATGTAGTGGAAAGGTTGTCCATGATTGCTAACAAGTTGTGAAAAATCTAGAAATCCCTTAGACGTTGATTTGTGATTATGTATGAATTTTAACCAGTAAAACAATTCCAATCAAACAATTAAGACAAATCGACATAACTATTTTACGTGAAAAAATCACAATTAGAGCGCCTCCAATTGTGATAAAAAAAAGCCACGGGCAACAGCCACAAAACAATCTACTAAGAAGATATAAAGGAATTACATAAGTGTGCTCTCAATTACCTAGCGAATCCACGCCCATATTGAACCGACCCCTATGTGCTTCTTCCAACCCTGTCTTCACCTCAGAATTGCCTTGCCCAATATTGAATCCACAACGCCGATGCCGAATCACAACGATGAGCCACTCTAGGATCCACCAAAGCTTCAGGCTCGAATTTCCCGGAATCCATCGAAGAACAACACTCTCTTTTGTATTGAATAAACAATCCTTTGATGTATTTTTTTTTAAACCATGAGTTGAATACTCAGTTAAACATCAAAGAAACCAAGCAAAATAGCCCCAGATTAAGCAAAATAGCCCCAGATATAAACCCTAGAACCCTCAAAGAAGATCTGAAAAATGTAAACCTAAAATCTGACTGAAACATATATTTATAGCAATTTGTCCCGTGATCTCCGGTCGAGCGGACCGACGCTTGAGCGCAGTAAATTCTGTTTGAGCGGGAAAAAACATCTCCTAGTATTTTTGCAGGCGATCAAACTTCTGGAACCAAGGATTTTCCGCTTGAGCGGAGGAATGTCTGCTCGAGCGGACAAGCACCTTCGAATGCAATTTTACATTT